AAGCTGCTCTTCCTGCCCACGATCGGGGCCCGTTTCTGGAGGCTTGCTCTAAAGTACACTGAACTTGCCACAGACTTCACTGGATTTTGGAAAAGGTGCTAAGCATAAATACTGATTCCTTTACTCCTAAAACCTCAGCTCACTCCAGAATGTCCCTAGGAACGTGGCCCTTAGGGACTGCCGGATTTTGCTGTTTCCTTCTTCATGTACTTGTAAAAGCTCCAAAGTTCTCTGCACGCTCAGCTGCAAGTGAGATGGGGGAAAGGACCGTTGCAGAGCTCTCCATTTTTTCACTACCCAAGCTTGTGCTCTCTACGATCAGAGCTTTGCTGACAAGCCACCAGGCCTCAGAAGATTAAAAAGGACATATTCCCTCTCCCTCCACGTCTCAATGTTTTATTCACCTCGGTTTCCCTCACACAGAAACCAGAGATTGCTCCCTCCCGCCACGGGAAGCCGAGCACGGGCAGTCCGCCCACGTAGCTGCGTCACCACCAGTGGTTTTGCCTTCAAGGTCTGAGAGACGTTTCTGCTGATTCACCGACCCCCCCAGAGTGGACTGTTCTTAGAGTTGATTTCCTTCCATCCACTACATCTAACCATCCCGAGTGAACATCACCTTTAACTTACCATCAGTTGAGCCTGCATGGGCGCAGCTTTGGTCAGGGACCAGGGGAGCTACTCCTGGCTGCTGCAAGCTGGGAAGCTTCGTCTATCATCTCTGTCGTGTTACTCCATGGCATTAAAGGCTCTAGACCAGAGCCGCGGTTGCAATCATCTCCCCATGTTCCCTTTACATCGCTTTTCCAGGCGACCATGGATCTATTCGCCATGGTGCCTCTCCTCCCCGAGATGGCAGCAGGAGGAGCTGCCATGGCATGGCTCTCCCTTTGCAAATCATGAGCTGGCTTTGACAACTCCGTTGCACTCACAAATATGCTGAAATATTATAATGGCCCTATCAGCATTTAATCCGTTCTGTCCAACAGCAAAGTTGGATTTCATAAATCAAAAGCAAGCAGCTAAACTATTCCAACTAAATTTTGACTAAATACTTCCTTTCCTTTGATGAAAGCACCGGCAGATTCATAAGCCTCCTCTGTTGACCTGACAATAAAGCAGAAGCAGTCCTAGTTATGTTTTTCCGACTGAATTTGCATTGCCAGTGTATGCAGATCCCAGGAACTTCTTAAGAGATTCTTCTAAATAATATGTGGAGTTGGGGATTAAACCATAACATTATGATTTTCTCCCTCGCTGTCTCAGATTTCATATCCTCAGCAACAGAGCTGGGATTACAGCTTGAGCTCAGGATGTGGTACCAGACAGCTGACAACTTTTCCTCTTGGACAGATCAGCTTTTTGTATCAGGGGATTTCTCTGGGGCCTGCAGCCTTTTCTGTGGGAAAGCATGACATGCTACGCACGCCCTTGACTTGCCCTAACAGCGTGCAGCAAACGCACCCAGCTTCCTGACAGTCATTTCTTATCACCCAGGTATCCCGTTGTTCCAAGAAGGTTAAGATTGGACATCTGGAGCCTTGCCTGCATGGGAGAAGGGAAAACAAAATAGCCTCAAACTCAGACAAATTCTTGATGTCAAGAGAGTACTTTCTTATGCTCAGTACACAAAAGAATGATGGCAGAAAACAAGAAGGGTTCATCTTTCTGCAACAGCCCTTCTTTTCATCTGTTTAAGCGGGATGGGCAGAAGCTCAGGCTGGTCAATGCTGGCTCACCCACCCCACGGTGGCATTGCACAGGTAATGACCTCCACGTAGCTAAAACCTCCTGGGCAGAATTTATATGCTACCTGTGGAGAACAGAGCAGCAGGTAGGATCCATCCTCAGACCCTGCTCCTACAAGCTGCCACCACACCATTTCCATCCAACCCCACAGACGGTGCAGTACAGCAGCAGGCATCTGATTTTCTAGTGCCCAGTGCAAGGTAAAAAAATACCTGAAAGCTTCTGCATATGGCATTTCTCACAAATGCCATAGTCTTTCAATCATTTTTTGAGCAACACCTGAAAAATTAATTAAAAAGTAAACACGTTGCAACATGCATTTCATCTCAAGGACTGTTTTACATATATTTTGTTAAGTATTGTTCTGGCTTGCAAATCACTCCTTACATCTAACCATACACCTATGTACACCTGCACAGGCATGTCTGGGCCTGTTTCTGCAGTCCCTACACAAATAAAATACCCATCCACTTGAATGGGAGCTCTTTTCAGATAAATGTGGCAAGATTGGGCCTTTGGTGCATACGTGCAAGTATCCTGCACACACATTTTAAAATCATTAAAAAAATAGAGTAGCTATAGATTCATAACTGATCAAAATCTAAACACAGTAAAACTGCACTTATTACAGTGTAGCCTACGTGAATTTACATTGCTCATTTATATGAAGCAAACAAAGGAAAGGAAATGTCTGTGACCCTGTAATTATAGGTTAATTGTAATTACAGTTTTGCTTATCCTTTTGTCTGTCCAAAACATCCAAAAGGATTTTTGCAACTAAAATGAGGGATTTGCACCATTTCTTTCCAACATATGGATGCTTCTCAAGTGCTTTCCCATCCTTATTGAAGTATCTTTCACAACATATCAGACTCCTTTCGGTGGCTTTTGTTCACTCCAATCCCTACAGTAAAGAAAAATCCCTTACTGGAGAAGGTAACCTTAGCAAAGCAGCAGCAGCAAAGCAATACTGAAGTCACTACTAGTCCCATACTCAGAATAAGGAGTAAGGGCTCTAGGTACCAGCTTCAGTGTCATTCCTGTTATCATAAAGCTTAATGCACAGCAAGATGGCCAACCCACGGGGTCAAATTGCTCTCTAAATAGCACTTTAATTACAGCACTTCATTATCAAAGCCCTTTGCACATAAATTTACAAAACACAGCAAAGACAAAGATCTCTTTTGCATATTAAATCAAGGAAACTATCTCATCTACAAGTTCATTCTTAGTGTGCTGCACATTTCGCAGCTAGCTGATACAAGGTGGTGCTCACTAACGCACAGTATAACTCTTAAGACCAAAAACACACCACCACAAATATATAAAGCTTAAGCACAGGTCCTTCACCTACCCCTGGCTGGTATTTCCCAAGTGAGCTCTGACACCTTTATGAAGCATGTGGGTTGCTTTTAAAGTAATCAGACCACCGGAGTCTAGTGTAAAGTCAAGGAAACACACTCCCACATACCGCCCAGGTCACCGCTGGTCAGTAGGGACTTTTGAAATGGTGACCATCGTGCTTCACTTCCTTTTTGATCATTTTATCTGTAGCGTGAGCAACTTTCACAGCTCTCAGCATAGCACAGAGGCTTTTAAAGGAAGCTTTGTGCATTCGTGCGTTACAAAACCAAAATCCAAGTCCAGATTTGGATTTAAACCCTCCCCCCCTGCAAAAAAAAAAGTATCCCTCATATAGACCTAGCACTTTAAACTGCAAATTCTTGATCAAAGATCTTGTAATCTAAGTAAGACCAGCCAAGACACTGGGCAACAGCCCAAGTGCTTCAGGCTAAGAACTTATACGAAGAAACTCTGTTCATTTAACTATGCCAGCACAGCCAAAACAGCAAACCTCACCCCCTTGTGTACGCAGTCTTACCAGTATGAAAGGGCATATACCAGCAGTTTACGACACCACAGTTCAGCAGCCAAAATAAATTCCAGCAATATGTGGCACCTTTTCTGCACCAGGGTTTTGCCAATTTAACTGTATCAGGTGAAAAATTAAACCTGGCATAACTGACAGAGTTACACTGGTAACTTTTTTAAGAATACACCAGCCCTTTTACTATCCTAACAACATTCTCAACATACAAAAATGCCACGTTACGACATCTGTCACCTTGAGATGCATAATTTTAACATAACCATCATAATCCAAGCGACAAAATATCTTCACTGTATTTCCTGCCAGTACTTATCACAGATACCTGCAAGTATTTAACTCGACCTGCACAACAGTGAATCAACATTCAGATACTCTCACATCTTTAATAAAAATCAAAGAGGAAATGCTTTTTTCTACCTTATGCTGTGATATCTGAACAAAAAAATCAATGCAGAAAATATAACTATGGTAACCTCCCTGCTATTCAGCCTGAGAAAAGCTTGCAGAAGTGTGAAGGAGCACATTTCTTCAGTAAGGACTCCAATGTGAAGCTGAGATGGTCACTGTAGGAGAAAGCACACACATTGCTCATGCGTTAGCTAGAAGGAAAGCATTACAGACAATGAGAAAGAAAACACGATCAGCAGAGGAGGCCAGAAATATAAGACGCAAGAAGGAAGAAGAAACTCTAAAACAATTGCACACCATGACCAACACATTACCTGTTGCTGTGAGTGGGAGTTTAACATTCTCTTCTATCCTGGCTGAAAATTTTCATAAAGTGATCTTCTTTATCCTAACACATCTATCTGCTATTTTTCACCAATACTTTGTGGCATTATGGAACAAAGACCTCAATTTATATACCTTCCCTTAAAACTATAATGCTAAAGAGTATTTTCAAAAACCCAAATGCCAGAGAACAGTGATTTCAATACAACCTGGCAATGCCCCAAGGTACTCAATTCAGAAACCTGTGTAAAGCCATACGATCTACGCTAAAATTCTCCATCACTGATTCTCCTCAAAAGTTTGGTGCTTTTCTTCATAGTGAAATGATAACTATATTAATGTGCTCTGTTTATCCCTAAACTTATTGGAAATGTGCTTCTTATCTGACTTGCTTTCCAGGGCAGTGTATACCCTGGGACAGAAGAGTTTTGCTTCTCCAACACTGTTAGGGACACAATTCTGCTAGCAGGAAAGATGCTGGTATCCTAGATCCTATGGGATGCAATGCCTTGAGGAAATTTATATCAAACAATTATTGCATAATCTCAGGGTGTAATAAAACCCCCTACACCATACACAGGCAGCAAGTTCCTGTTACGCTTTTGCATCAGAGGAAGAAGTGTCCCTGTCAACAGCAGCTACAGGTTCCTGTATGAACCCGCAGGATCCCCTTGCTGTGCATGTGGAGGAAGTTGAAGATTTCTGAGGGCATAGCATGAAAACCAGGGCGAGGTTTCACATTGTCATAGTAGTGATGAGTTATAAAAATCCCTGAGGGGTTCATGGGGAAGGCCCAAAAGCCAAAAAGGTGGACCTCTTCACAGAGCTCCAGGGCAGCAGTCACCAGGATCAGTCCAGTGCTAATCCGCTTAGCCCGCACTCCTTGGCCAAGCCAGTAGCGTGAGACGTTGATGAGATACTGGGGATGAAAGTAATAAACAGCTTGCTGAGATTCAAAATCATCCAAGACATATTTGACACGGATTGAAACGTCTGTGTTGCGAGTGTTGTAGAAAGCTGGCAGCAGCACGGACGCGTTCTCGTAGACCTGGAGCACGTCGTAGAAGGGTTTCCTCCATTTCTCCAGCTTATGAAATCTAAAGAGAAAAGGATGCGAGTGACGGTCAGACCAGCGTGGATTCGGTCTGGACCCAGCAGACAAGCAACCTCCAGTGGGCTTTTACTGAAACATTTCTGACAGGGAGATAATTGAAACGATGTTTTGGTTAACAGGGGGAACATATTTAGATTTGTAGCCAAAGCATCAGTATGAAATGTACGGCAAAAATGCAGGGAATAAAAAGATACATATTTTCCCCTCTTTTGGCAATACACTCATTAAACAGTGGACAAACTTTGTAGGCATTTCTGATCATGTCTTACTTCACATTTTATTATAAGAAATAGGTAATTTTTCCAAGGTTTGATCAGCTGTATAGTGCAGTACTGTATAAAAAAGTGGCAAATACCAAAGCAGAGCAAAAACATTTCTAAAATGTCTAAATGTAACATTTAAAAGAAATTCACTATGCAAACAAATTATTTTATATTGCTTGAGAAAAGAAACACATTCCCACAGCAAGAACGGAAAGCAATAATTAGCCCCATGGTCCCAAACCTGTCAGCAAGGTGGCATTAAGTTATTAATAAATTTAGAATTACAATAACTCAGTCAATCCTAGCTACAAAGTTTAACTGACACTTCTTTAAAAACATATGACAATATGTGTTACTTTATTTAAGCGTTTACGGTTGGATCCAGTTGCTTCCACCCTAAATGTTTCTGAGATGTTTTCCTGGGGCTTGCAAGCACGGCACAAGACTTCCAGAGGGAGGATGGCTCTGTCGTTATAATCCCAGCTCATCGGCTTCCCACTTTCTATCACCAATGTGCAGGTCTAAGTGTTTAACACATTTCTATAAGTTGTTACAGATTCCATGTACGGAATAGCTTCAATTCAGAATGAAATCTATGATTCATAGTGTCAGTTTAAAGTAATATTGGGGAAATATTCTCTGTAACAGTTAGAATTAAGTGAAAGGTGGATTTGGAAAAGCAATAGGAGATGAAAATAGAAAAAACAGAAACGACCTCTCTGTAATTATACTGGGATTGACAGTCACGACATCAGTCTTTACCCCAACGTCCGGGAAGTATTTCTCAGATATAGGAGGCAAATTGCATCTATAAGGGAAAGAAAGCAGTAAGAAAGTTAAACAATTCCTTGAACCTTTTCAGGACTAGAAAGTAGAATTGATTTAAGCATGTCTTCCAAGCAACAAATCTAGAAACAGATTAAGAATTTAAAATTGTACCAATTATTGATGCCCAAACCATGCATTAAAGTAACAAGTTCTTAGGGGCTGTACGGAGACCATTCCTCCCCGAGTCTGTCAGAGCTGATCCTTTTTTGCAGATGTAGCCAACATTCACTCATTTTGCTTCTTCAGTTCAGCTAGCTATTTTGGCAGTTTAGGACGAGAAATGGGATGAGCCCCAAGGACAATCAGCCCATAAAATCAAAGACTTCCTCAGCAACAGCTGAGCTGTATTCAATAATTAATAGATAAACCAGATCTATAACATTGCCTTTATCATGCTTTGTTTTATACCCAAGAGAATTTAGGGGAAATGCTCCCCAAGAGAGAAATCAGGCCAGTCCTAATTAATCCAAAACTATCTGTTTCCCTTTATACGTATATCCCGGCCGCAGCGTAAGAGCAGCAATTCTGACTCTGTGGATTCACCAGAGGATGTCAAACCTATTAGGTGCAAACTTGTGAAGATTTGCAAACCTTGACTTTGCCCAGCCTCCACTCACCTTGGCCTTGACCTAGATTCATCATCTCAAAAAATTTAGAGCATCCCTCAAGAGATGCTGAAGTTACTGAAATACACACACATACACACAAGCTATCACACAAGCTTCGATTCCATAGGAAACCCAGCTAATAAAAAAGCTTCAGCATGTGTTTTCAGAGGTAACCTAAGCGGCCTTGCAATTAGTCTTACACTCAGTTTAAGCTAGCATTAGATATCTGCTGACATTTTGAAAACAAGCCACAATAAAAGCCATCGCTGTTAAGATCCCCACATCTCAAAAATACTGCTGTGCCTAATTCCCAACATCTCCATATTTTTGAAGACCAGGGCTGAATAGGACAAAAGAGTGAAGGTATTCAGGGTAAGCGATGCTCAGTGTTTTCACAATACTACAGTTCAGCTGCCGTCATAATTTCTCAGTCACAGGGAGAGGGCAGAGCAGAGGAACGCACAAAAATCCTTCAAAGTCCTTCTCAGGCTCAGCAGGTTCACATCTACCTTCCAGAGAGTTTCAATTATCAGGCCAGAGAATTTTTTTAGCCATTTCATCCTTCTCATAGGCAGTGTTATTTCCAGCACTTTTCTCTTACTAGGTCATGCAACGTCCTTCTGAAGTCCTCTAGTATCCTCAGTTCCACCTAGCACTGGGCACTGTGCTCATTAGATTATAATTGAAAATGGTTTTCAAATATTCAGCTTCAATAGTTTTGAACAGTAAACTCCCACCAGGATTAACTGAATTTGTTGAAAGTGATAGTTCCTTATAAAAATGATACAACCTGCATAAACTGTAGTTTTGTCATAGGACTCCAAAAATCCCATCCCTGCAAAGAGAGTAGTCCCATCTACAAATGCACCCAGTGTTTCATCACAGATCTCCACTCTGGCCAGTAGATGGAGATAGACAATAACATCTAGTAAATGCAATTCGTGTGTGTGTTTTATATATTCTATTGGAATATAATGAACTGCTATCAGAATTTGTTTCATAGAAAAATCTTGGTTGCATCCTGCTGGCCACAAGCTTCCCGACAATACAAGATTTTCCCAGGTGTCTTGAAGGTATCACTGAAAGTTAGCCGTGTCCACAGGCAGTTTTTGAAATATTTTAAAGAATTGTTTTGTTGGTGACCAAGATGGTGATTCCTGACAGTTTGGTGAACTGGTGTCAGACTGGAAAGTGGATGTGTTGAGACCTGACCTTGAACACAAGTTTTACTTTAAAATTGATGTCAGCAGAACTTAAGCTTTTAAACACTAGCACGTCTTTGTACCTAATGCTGGTCCCACATGTTTTGGAGGTGGTGAACCAGAGGGTTTTTTGCACAAATACTGATGTACTTTTTCATATTCCAGTTGTACTTAAGCCTCTACTTAACTACTTACTTACTAAAAGCAATTTCTAAGTTCTGTACTGATCTGCTCTGCCCTTTTTATGCAGTTGTGGTACAGTTCATGAAAGAGCAACAGTGGTAAAGAGGGGCCTCCACTGAAAGTTCTTATGCATAAATGATGACATTTGCTGCCCGTATTTCTGCTTCCAGTCAACAGTTTGTCACCTCCATGTGTAACATGTACCTCTCGTTTCAACCATGCTGATAGCTGTGATCCAGCGCAATAGAAGGGAATCTACAATAACTATTTAATATATATAGGGAACACTAGGCTTTTAAGAAGAAAATTATGTGAAGCCTGGACTGTTTCACAGATTAAAATAAGGCAATAGTTTTCTACAAAATGGGCACAAGAGGCAGACACAAGGGGTCTGAAAATAATGAACAGTAAAGGTAGGACCTGTAAAATGTTATTTCTCATTTGATGACAAATTAAATTAAGAATGCAATGAGTCATAATCTGACTTAATTTTTGCTGGTATGCAATTGGAGAAATTAATTTATTTATATACAGTTATTCTAAACTGACAGGAACATACCTAAAATCAGAAAATAGGCCAACAGAACTAAAAAAAATTTTTCTTTTCTTCAGAACAGGTCATGAATCTCTGAGCTAGCTGTCATATGCCATGACCTGGGAAAAGAGCTTAACAGGATTTAGAGAGGGATTAGTCATGCAGACAAATAATCGTGGTGGGTTGACCCTGGCTGGATGCCAGGCGCTCACCAAAGCTGCTCTATCGCTCCCCTCCTCAGCTGGACAGGGGAGAGAAAATATATCGAAAGGCTCCTGGGTCGAGATAAGGACAGGGAGAGATCACTCAGCAGTTACCGTCACTGGCAAAACAGACCCGACTTGGGGAAATAAATTTAATTTCTTACCAATCAAATCAGGGTAGAATGATGAGAAAAATCAAATCTTAAAACACCTTCCCCCCGACTCCTCCCTTCTTCCTGGGCTTAATGTCAGTCCCAATTTTCTCTTCTCTCCCCCCGAGCGGCGCAGGGGGACGGGGA